TGGCCGAGGGCGGCGGGGGCGCGCGGAGGAGGGCGCCGGCGCTGCTCGAGGCGGCCCGCGCGCGCTACGAGAGCCTGCACATCTCCGACGACGTGTTCGGCGAGTCGGGCCCGGACAGCGGCGGGAACCCCTTCTACAGCACGTCTGCCGCCTCGCGCTCCTCCTCGGCCGCCTCCTCGGACGACGAACACGAGCGCCCCGGCCCCCCGCCGCCGCCCGGCGCCCCGGACGCGCAGGAGCCGGAGGAGGACGAGGCCGGCGCGGGCTGGAGTGCCACGCTGCGGGACCGCCCGCCCCCGCGTTTCGAGGACACAGGCGGTAAGGCGCGGCCCGCGGGGGCGGGGGCGGCCCGGGGAGGCGGGAGCGCGGGGCCGGGAGAACTCCAGACGCTCCGTGGGCCGGCCGGTCGAGGGCAGTTGTTCGCATCAGCACACAAATGGGGCCTCGGCAGCGGGGATTTGAAGTGCGAGAATCAGTCTGACTGCGTGGGGCGGGGGGAGGGCTCCGACTTGCCCGCGGGTGGAGAGGATGAGGCGGAGGCCGGGGCCAGCACCCTGCCGCTGGCAAAGACCTGGGGGGGGGAGGCTTCCCTCACTTGCCAGGAGTGTCCAAGCCAGTCACACCTGTGGGGTCGCACTTCGGGGTGCGTTTGAGTTGGGCTTTACTAGTTGAAGGGATTCTGCAAACCTGACGCGGCTTGTGTGTGTGCTGCGGGGGTTGGGGGGAGCGCGTAAATCTCCTGTATTGATGGCCCCAGAGCAGCCTTACCCAGGTGCCAGGGGTGGGGCAGGTAGCCTTTGGAGGGAGGCCCAGTGAGAGCCTCTGGAGAGGCCACCCCAGGGCGTCTTCACTGGCTCGTGTTTTCTCTAGTTAATCTGAGAAACTTTGTCCGTGCCTTTCAGGATCACTTGCTAAGAGCAGGGAAGAGTGAAAAGACAAGTTCAGCAGCGTTAAGGTGTAGGCTCTTGCGTCAGAAGGCACTTTCATGTGTGTTCAGCTTACCGCCACGGTCATGGTCAAGCCCCTGATATCTGGAGGTCGCAGGAGTGCTGGCAGCTGAGGCTGCTGGAGGTCCTCTTTTACTGCCTCCTTTTTCCGGAGGTGGTTCTAAAACGTCTCTACTTAAACCTGCAGAAGCTCTGTGGCCTCTGCCCTCTGGGAGAGGTGGAGACTAACCAGCAGTTTCCACCTGTCCCCTGATGCTTTTTGTTCCTTGCTCAGCAGCCTTCTGTGGCAGGCCCTTGTTTCTGCACACCATTTTTGTGTGTGGAAGAGTGTGCAGCCGGTGTTGTTGAGGACCAGGGAGTGGCCGTACTGGGCATGATGCGGCTTTTCCTGTGGCTCTCCCTGACTGTTGTTCAGCCTTAGGAGGGCAGGCCCGAGGGACCCCTGGCTGGTGCCTGGGCTTGGATCTGGACATGGTGCTGCAGCCTGCTGGTAGGCTGCTTGGGTTGGCTGGACTCTCTCAGCAGGGAGTGGTCTGCCAACCTCCCACAGGCAGGCTGCAGTGTGGACACCCTGAGCTACAGCTGGGCTCGCAGGGTCCAAGTTAACTGTGCAGTGTTTTGGAATGGTTAAATTTAACAACATGTTCTCATTTAGGCTTTGGTTAAGAGTTTGGGAATTTTCAAAGTCACGTCACTCTGCATAATCCTTTTAAACCTCCTACATTTTCTAGAATGTCATAAGGGTTTCCAGCCCCAGATGGCTGTTTTCCATTAAATTAGCTCTTTAAGAATTGTACATACCCAGAGCTCTGGTTTGGCAGACTTGATGCTATGAGTGCTGTGATCCAGTTTTTGATCTTGGAACATGAGATACATGTCCTCTTGTTTCCCTACCTCTCCCGAGAAAATAGGAGAATTGTGTTAGCTTAAGCCTCATTATGAATAAGATCCATGAGTGTGTTGGTGTGAGAAGGATGAACGCACCTAAATAAATTTTCAAGCAATATAATGTCTCTTAGTAACCTATACTTCGGAGAAATTCTGCATCAGAGCAATTTAATCTAGCCACTGCAGCACTTAAATGGTCGTGAAGTGCAGGATCATATGTCATTTAGCATTAGGTTCAAATTTTGCTTCCTTCGGATGTTCACTGAGCTCACACCTGGACCTGAGACTCACAGGCAAGCGCTTTAACCAAAGACATTAGTGGTTATTTGATGGTATCTATACCCAATTTTGTTTTCCGGTTTTGTGTGGAAGCTTGCTTTTAATATCCAGCCCTAATGAAGAATTTCCTTTCTTCCTTGAAACAGTCGTTCCCTGAGGGAAATTTGGGATGGTGGTGGAGGGGTGAGGTTGATGGCTTATTAAGTGTGAGTTCAGATTGCCTGAAACAATGGGATATGATTTATGGGGGCTGAAAATAGATGCTGGGCAGAGAAAACCCTTGTGCCTGGTGGGGGGGGTGGGGGGAAGAGATGGACACGTTTATTAAGAGGCTGAGAGCTGCACCCTGGCCACTCTGAGAGCAAAGAAGTTCAGGCTCTGAGGTTTTTTCAAAGTGTAGAATCTAACCCCACTTTCAAGGAATGCAGCTTGGGCCTTTCTTCCATCTTTGTTCCCTGGTTTGTTGACAGACCTCACTTGGCTGGTGGGGTAGGATAGGGAGGCAAGCAGGAGGGTGGCATTTTGATCTGTAATCAGCCCTCATAAAAGAAAATCTGTAGCAGAAATGGCTGTTGCTGCTAGAATCAGATGAGGAAAGCAAAGGATTCTAGACTTAGGAAACAGGCTTCCTGCCTGCCTTCTGCTGTAAAAGCAGGTGTATGTGTGTAAATAAGTGAATATGTATGTGTGCGACTGTGTCTTACGGGTAAATCTGTATTGCTTGTGCTGGTTTGGGCTGGTTGGGGCTTTTTGGGGTTTTTTTTTTTTTAAATTAGAGATTACAGCTGCTGTCTGGGAGCCCTCTGATGACCTAGAGTCCCTGTGCGTGAGAGAGGTGGAGGCATTGAGCACCACTGAGCTTTGATCTGCGTTTGGAGTGCACATAGTAGGGAGACACTTGGTGCCCAGCTGAGGGGAGGAGGGCAGACAGGCAGAGGCATTTCTGTGGTTCAGGTTGAGACTCCTCCGCTAGCTGTTCTTCTAGTCTTCCCAGACTCTTCCTTCCGTTTTGTCCATGTATTTAGCTTCCTGGATCAGGCGCTCCAGAAGTGCCGCCAACAGTTATTGGTGGAGGGGTCCTCTCCTTCACCCCCTTCTTTCACCTCCCCGGGTTCTGGTTGTGCTTGGAGATATGGGTCCCCTTGAGATGATTTAAATACAAAGACCATGCTTGCGGGGCTGGCTGACGGGCTCTTAACCCCTGTGTGAATGGAGGGTCAGCCTGGGAGCTGGAGATGCTTGCTGGGAGCCCAGGGCCCAGAACCTTCTCATCAGACTTGCAGCTCTCTCTCAAAAATAGCCCCCTCAAGCTGTCAGCCTCGCCTGCCCACTGTGCAAATAACCGACACAGCATGTAAGCTCACTCTTTGGAAGCAGCATGAAATTCAGGCCGGCTGCTTTTTGGGCTTCTGCCCTTTTGGTTTCTTATTCTGAGCAGTCTTGTGATTCGTTCTCTCTGAGGAGGCAAAGGAACAAGCAGATTCACAGATGCTCAGGGGCTCCCGTGTGTTCGGCTTTGTCGGTCCTTTGTCGTGGCTGGCTGGGATCTGAGCTGTTTGCTTTTTCTATTAGAGGCTAGACTTCACAGGAGTGTGTTCTCCGTGTACATGTGTACATGTCACGAACCCTCGGGAGGTATGACCTTGGGAAGCTGGAGAGGACCACAGGGCTCTGAAAATTAACATTGTGAAATGTTTTATCTTAGAGTTTGTTGTTGATTTATTTGGCCTAAAGTCTTTTTTGACTAACAAGTAAGAGGAGAAAAATCTTTCTCTTAAAGCCAGAGTTAAACGGATACTCTCATAATGGATTTGTGAGTGGAGGTACCTGGGCCCCTGTCGTTGTCCAGGATAAGCAGCTGCACCTTTAGCTCTGTACCACGTTCTGTGGCTCCAGGAGGAACTGGGAGTCTGGGCGAGCTACAAGGTACATCTTATGCAGTGCTGCAAAATCATCAAGCATGTGCCACCACCACACAGAATTCAGAGAAGGGAGCTTCCTGGAGAGAGGTTTTGTTCAGGTGGTGGGCATGACGCTGATTATAACCAGCCGTCCCCATTCATAGCATGCTTTTCCTCATCGTGCCGAACCTTCGAGAGTACTCTGAGAAAGCCGGTATCACTTCCACTTTACAGAGAAACACAGATAGGTCTTTTCAGTCAGGGTCTCGGGTGATGAGATTACCTGGTGAAGTGGTAGCCTTCTAACTAAGCAGACTTGATCGTTCAAGGAAGGTTGTGCCTTTTTATTTTTTTCTTTACAGCATCTAAAACCTTTTTCAGTCAGAAATACTTCCATATTTTTACATGGAATTGCTTTTAACTTTTTTTTGGGCGATATGCAGTTCTGTGCGGTTTAAGGCATGTATGGATTTGTGTAACCAATCCCCACAGTCAGATAGGAGACAGAAAATCTAGAATTTTATCTCTTTATTTAATCCCTGCTACACCTCAGCCATTGTGATGAGAGTTTAGAGTGTTTCTGCAGGTAACAGGGCTTTGAATACATTGGGAATCTGGGGGTTGTGTGGGGTCTGGTACTCAGTTTTAAAGTAGAAAATTCACCTTTATTTTTAAGAAGTGTGATTGTATATTTTTTTTCTTATTAACAAGTAATATATGTACATGTTAGGGAAAAATGATAAAATTTTAAGAAATCCCATAATCTCTCATTACCCTAGATAATCATAGTTAATTATATTGAGTATATCGTTCATGTATCTTAGATTACATCTTGTTGGGTGACCTGCTTTTTAATTGTAATTAATATATTGTAAACGTTTTCCATTTAAATTTTAAAGTGTCAATTTTAATGAGTCCATGATATTACACAAGTTCCCTCTGGATAGGTGTTGAGTTCATTGCCCCTTCCCCCTTATATTTATTATGCTACGATAAATATTCCTGAAGCTTAAGTTTGTGTGCACATCCTTAGCACATTCCTTAGCATAAAATGATCAAAACAGAATTGAATTAGGACACACTGTAAGGTTTTTGATATCTGTGGCGAAATAGCCTTCCAGAAATGCACACTCCTGCCGGCAGTATACCAAAAAGGCTTAGAAGGTCTTGCTTAGAGGACCCACTAAAGTGCATGATTCCTGCTGGTAGGGTGCTCTTAGAGGACCGTTGCATTTAATAAAGCTTCTTGAGGTGTAACACACACAGAGCTCATGAGTCATAGTGCACAGCTCAGTGCGTACAA